TGCAGCTCATTCACCAACTTCTTTCACAACCTCTTTGGTACGTAGCTTTCCACTGTCCTGCTACTGTACCTTCTTTGCATACGTACTTGGGCGTTCCGATCAGTCCGTCCTTCGCTAGCCAACACCTACTGTACAGTGTTTCGTTTCCGATCGTGACTTTTTTTCACGAAAAATCCGAATCGCCCGAACTTTTCGGGTCCGTACGTCATCCGATATATCAGGGTTGCGAATGAATGATGAAGGAATTGAAATCGACCGCGCCTCCCAAATTACAATCTAAATCGCCAATGCTGCTTTGCTATAAAAAATAAGAATTTTAACTGTCACCACAACGTCACGATGAATCAAATGGGAATGAGACCGGGAATTATCATCCTTCGGGAGGGTACAGACTCATCTCAGGTAAGATGGTTTGGTTATTGCGATCTGCTTTTTACATATTGAAAATTTACAGTGTTGTTTCTTCTTGTAATTTAGGGAACACCTCAACTCGTGAGCAACATCAATGCCTGCCAAGCAGTTGCTGATGCTGTGAGAACAACACTTGGACCTCGTGGTATGGATAAACTTGTTGCAAAAGGAAACAATACTACCATCAGTAACGATGGAGCAACAATCATGAAGCTGCTCGAAATTGCGCACCCTGCAGCAAAGACACTCGTGGATATTTCCATGAGTCAAGATTTGTCAGTAGGTGACGGAACAACATCTGTTGTACTTCTTGCAGCGGAAATATTGTCAAAACTTAAACCACTCGTAGAAGAGGGACTATCTCCAACTCGCATGATTCAGACAATTCGAAGAACTGGAAAACAAGCTGTGCAAAAGGTGAAAGACATGGCGATTTCCCCTGACCAGCAAACAATGCTTTTGAAGTGTGCTAGCACTGCTCTCAATAGCAAATTGATTTCTTCTCATCAAGATCTGTTTGCTCCAATGGTCGTGTCTGCAGTTACTAAGCTCCACGAATCCGGTAATGTTGACGAGATTGCCGATTGGATTGCAATCAAGCAGATTCCTGGAGGAGACGTCCGATCTTCCTTTTTGGTGGAAGGCGTTGCATTCAAAAAGACTTTTTCGTACGCTGGGTTCGAACAAATGACAAAACGATTTGAGAAACCCAAGATCCTGTTGTTGAACGTTGAGCTTGAATTGAAGTCAGAGAAAGAGAACGCAGAAGTACGTATATCCAGTCCTTCTGAGTATCAGTCAATTGTAGACGCGGAGTGGCAAGTGATCTATGACAAGCTGGACGCATGCGTTGCCAGTGGAGCAAACATCGTTCTGTCAAAGCTGCCTATTGGAGATCTGGCAACACAGTATTTCGCCGATCGCGGTCTTTTTTGCGCGGGACGTGTTGTTGACGGAGACTTGAAGCGCGTCGCGAAGGCAACCAATGCTAGTATTCAAACCACAACAAATGGCCTCACAGACGAAGTTTTGGGAACATGTGGATTGTTCGAAGAAAAGCAAGTTGGAGACGAGAGATTTAACTTGTTCACGGAATGCCCGTCAACTTTAACTTGTACAGTTGTTCTTCGAGGTGGAACCGAACAGTTCATTGCAGAGAGTGAAAGAAGCATTCACGATGCATTGATGGTTGTCAAAAGAACAATTCAATCTGGTTCTGTTGTTGCTGGCGGCGGTGCTGTAGAAATGTCTGTCTCCAATTTCTTGAGGCGACGGGCGTTGGAAATCGAAGGCAAGGAGCAACTCATTGTTTCTGCTTACAGCAAAGCCCTTGAGGTCATCCCTCGTCAGTTGTGTGAAAATGCCGGAATCGATGCCACCGACACGCTGTCAGCATTGCGACGAAAGCATGCTCAAGATGGCGACGATGCGAAATGGTATGGTGTCAATATCGAGGAAGGAGGTATCACCGACACATTTGAACTTGGAGTTTGGGAACCAAGCGACAACAAGATGAATTCTTTCGAAGCAGCTACCGAGGCAGCTTGCGTCATCCTTTCAATTGACGAAACGATTATTACCCCACCATCACAAGATCCAGGAGCGCAAGCAAGCGGCATGATGGGCGGTGCTGGCGGTCCACCAATGGGTGGAGGTGGCGGGGCTCCCATGGGTGGCATGATGGGTAGTGCCATGGACATCGCGAATAGTGGTGGTGCTCGTTCGGGGCAGCTCGCTCCTGGCGTCTCATATATGAAGGGGAGAGGAGGAGGATAATCAGATTAAGTTCAGTGACGCTTTTACAAGCTCGTGTCGTGTACACTATTACTAGCTGAGATAGGATAGTGGTTCAAACACACAAATTTTTGCTATATCGATGCAATTCTTGCAATTCCACGACAGGACGACTGAATAATCGAGATAATTCTTCAGCTTCTTACTCGACACTTCCATTCCTCACTGTTGGGAAATGAATCATCAGCTCCGAGTCTCACATAAGTGTTATGCCAAAGGGATCCATTTGCAGTACTTCATATTTTATACCGTATGTACGTCAAATTCAACGAATGCCTACCGTCTGTACACGTACGTGTACGGTACACCAGTCATCGTCTTGCGGTCAACCCACCCCGCCTATCGGTCGCACGTAAACGAGCGAAGGGTCTCCCTCTAGCTAGCCCTCTCTAGCTAGCCAGTTGAAGTTGATTGGGACCTGACTTCAACCGACGAATTACAGACTCAAGATGTCGCATTTTAAAAATTAGAAGTGTCGAGTGTTCGTTCGTCACAGACACCCACCACTCACCAAGAAAATTTGACGGGCCGTTCTATTGCTGGTCTATCGAATGATATAGAAAATGAGATCCACAATTACCTTTATTCTCTCCACACTTCTGATCCATAATGTGACACCATTCTCTCCGGTTCAACAACCAGGAGCCGTCGCTAAGACCAACGGTAGACTTCAACCTCTTTTCATGGGACGAGCAGCTGCTGTTCGTGCTGCAACCAAGTCGAAGACTGATGCCAAGAAAGCTAAGACTAATGGTGAGTGGCCTGGGATTCTACGATATCAAAGAGTCGGTCAGTAAAAAAACGTGTAAGAGTCAGCTAGTGGGAAGCGGGATATCTTGGAGTTTCGCATTTCTTTCGACCAGTTGTCACATTGTTTGACAAACGGGAAGCATAATAGTATGACTGGTGGTGGTTGGAGCTGCATTGTCGCATACACGGTGCGGTGGCTTGGACAACACCTGTCATTTGCCTTTTCGGTAACGACTTACACCATCACTTTCTTCGTCTCGGTAGCTGTTTTTGGAAAGAGGATTATCATGGCTGTCAAGCAAGGCGGAAGTCCCGACCCAAATGCAAACAGATTGCTTGGCGACATCATTAAGCAAGCTAAGGCGGGCAATGTCCCAGTTGATGTAAGGAACTACTATTTTGGATGTGTCTAGCTCTCCTTGATATGTCGAACTTTTCAATTTTCTCAAAGAATACATTTGCTATTCCAGAACATCAACCGTGCAATCAAACGTGCAACTGAAGGAAATGCAGGAGATTTCTCTGAATCTACATTCGAAGCATACGGTTTTGGAGGTGCATCTTTTGGTAAGGAGTATGGTTTCTTGCGGCAGTTGATTATTCCTTTTCCTTACCCCCCAAAAAAACTCTTCATAGTTATCAATGTGCTGTCTGATAATCCAAACCGAGCAAATGCTGATGTCAGGTCCACTGTAAACAAGCGTCAAGCAAAGATCGCGGAGCAAGGTTCTGTTTTGTTTATGTACGACCGCAAGGGAAAGGTTGAAGTGCCTGCCGTACTTGATGAGGAGCAACTATTGGATGCAGCAATTGAGGCGGACATTGACGATTTCCTGTTGCTGGAAGGAGACGAAGAAGACACATCTGTAGTTTATGTTGAACCCACTGATTCTGCAAACATGCTGGGTGTTGTAAACACTTTAGGATACGAAGAGGCAAAGATGTCACTTGCATGGGTCACCAAAGCTCCAGTAGAGTGTACAGATGATGACTTCGATAAGAATATGGAAATCATCGAGGCATTGGAGGAACTTGATGATGTTGATAGCGTAGAACACAACATGTCAAATTAGAACACGCATGGATTTATAGAATTTATTGTTTCGAACGAAGAGGGGTGTCATCTCACAATGTCAGACGACGATTGAGGTCACGAATTAATCCGTAGGAGTTGGGGGAAGTAAAGGGCGTACTATTTAGGGTGTGCTATTTACCATGCCTATGCGAACTGCTCCGTCCGAGTCTTTGTGATAAGAACCTCTCCAGATGCTTCTGCTGGAGCAACCAATGGTCCCTTGTGAGCTGGCTTTCCTCGGAATCCGAACTTTTGGAACATGGCTTGATCTTCGTCAAATTCAGGGTTGTCCGTAGTCAAAAGCTTGTCGCCATTGAAGATTGAATTTGCCCCAGCTTGAAACATCAGGTACTGTTCTGCATGACTGAATGTCATCCTTCCGGCGGATAGCCGAACCATAGTTCGTGGCATCACAATTCTGGCAGTTGCAATCATTCGAGCCATATTGAATGCGTCAACCCGATCAATATCCTCGTCATCTCCGAGCGGAGTTCCTTCCACAGATACAAGAGCATTGATGGGTACACTCTCGGGGTGTTCGTCTAGAGTTGCCAAGACATGAAGCAGACCGACCCGATCGATCTCTTGTTCGCCAAGGCCCAAGATTCCACCACTGCACACACTGATTCCAGCAGCACGAACGTTCGCAATCGTGTTCAATCGATCCTCGTATGATCGAGTAGTTATGACCTTGGGATAATGCTCTGGAGAGGTATCCAAGTTGTGGTTGTAAGCAGAAAGACCGGCATCCTTCAGCTGCTTGGCTTGCTCCGCATTCAACATTCCAAGAGTGCAGCAAACTTCGAGTCCCATCGAGTTGACTCCTCGGACCATTTCCAAGATGTGATTGAAGGCGTTCTTCTTGTTGCCCAGCTCTCTCCATGCAGCACCCATGCAAAAGCGAGTCGAGCCGGCATCTTTGGCTCTTTGTGCAGCCTGAAGCACTTCTTGAACCTTCATCGTTGGGGTTGGCTTAACAAACGTCTTATGACGCGTCGATTGAGAGCAGTAGGAGCAGTCCTCGGTACATCCACCGGTCTTGATGCTAAGTAGGGTGCACTGTTGTACTTCCGAAGGGTCCCAGTACATGCGATGCACGACTCCTGCTCGATACATAAGCTCATGGAATGGAAGGTCGTATATCTCTGCGATCTCTTCTTTTGTCCAATCATGACGGACAGAAGCTGTTACCCCACCCATTTGGCGCGAGTCTTCCTCGGTGTACAAGCTGTTTCTTTCATATTCGTCGTTTGGTAGACGTTCGCTTTCTTGTCTTACGGGCGAGTAGCGATCTACGACAACTTTGCTCTCGAAGGTAGGGGCGGCTGCAGTTGAAGTTGAAAACCCTCGAACAGCCCAAAGCTGAGGCATCGGAGTCGCCCGTGCCTTCAATCCACGAGGAAGGGAGGTAGCAAGGAAGTGGCCTCTATATGCCATCTTTTGGTTGATATCTGGAGGGTGTTGATGAGCGAAGAATGCCTCTGGATGCTCCCATGCAAATGCGAACGATGCAATCAGTCCATGACAGCAAATCGGGCCAACAAACGAGCAAGATTGAGATTACATCTACCGGTCTGTCCCTGGTCACGAATACCTACAGTACTCTAAACTCGTTAAACCAACAAGGTACGTACGATGTACCGGTACCACATGGTTTTGTATTTGAGTTGTTTTCTTGAGTAATGTTTCGAACTAACATCACAGCGTACAAACACAAGGGACGTCGTATTCAGAACGGGCTAGACGGAAATGTGGGTATAGTACGACAAGATTACGAGACAACAAAAGTGGATGACGAATTTCTTTCTGCTACGTAACTTTCTACTCGTTCAATGCGGCACGTTTGGCCTTGTGCTTGGCAATGGACGCACCAGTGCCTCTGACCTTCTTCCCCTTGTTCTTAGCTTCCTTCATGGCCTTTCTCGAAGTTTCCTTCTTTGTAGAAACTCCCTTCTTGACCATTCGATGCTTGGGCTCGAACTTGATCATTGATTCTTCGTTGTCGTAGATCAAACAGAATCCTGTGCTCTTGCCTCCTCCGAACTTGGTTCGAAATCCGAACATGACTGTCAATTTAGCATCGCCCTTGTACATGTTGGCTATAAGGTCTCCTAGCTCCGATTTTGAAACATTTGCCCGACCTGGGTGAATAACATCAACAATCATCTAAGAGAAAAAATGTTAGAAACAGATGTCGAACACCAGTTGACCCGCACCAACATCTTTAAAATGTCATCCTCCTCGTTTGAACACTACATTGAAAGAGAGTTAACCCATTCTCTGGAGTGCTCCCGAATCAAAGCAAGCAATATTTCTCAAGACTCCGTTCGACACTTTGTTGTTGGATACACACCTGCTTTCTCGCAAGAAGGGGATTGCGCTTGAATTTACGGGTCTTGATAATAACAGCGTCGGACATCTTTCTCTCTTGTGTGTATGCTTGATGAAATTGTTGTTTCAAAAGGTGACAATGATGTTGCTGCGACTTGGCCTCTGTCCAATACGTCCCCCACGACAATAAATTTTGCAAGAAAAAAGTAAATGGTAAGTGCAAAGTCGGATTAATCAAACGCATTTTTGTACGTACAGATTTAGTGCTGCTGCTGTGTCTAAAATGGAAATACAGAACACGTCCACTACCCTGGTACCTACAGTAGTGCATGTGGTACCAGGTACAAGCTAGTAGAAAGTTGGAAGCTGCTTTGTGAATGACTCAAATTGATGATAAAAAAGATCTGCATCTTAGCGACACCCCAAGTGAATTTCTGGACGACCGATTGAGTGATTGATCGAATAATCAATCATTCACTTGTTGAGAAATGCAACGGATTGAAACTAGCTTCTTGTTGGTGCTCTGGGTATACCCTTCTAAAATCCGGGGGACCGTCCATGTAAAGTATCAATAATACCGTAGCACTTCATGGGCGGTGGTTCCTCAGCATTCGTCATCAGTTTTGTCTTAATCATCTCTCGAGTTGCCGACATGTGCAAGATTTCTGATCGCACCTATCTAATGGCTTTACAAGAGCGACATTTTTAATTTTTGCAGCTTCATCGCATACCAGTCTATGTTTAACAGTTACAGTTGGTCCTGCTATTCATCAGCACTTTTATTCCGGAATTTCACGATGGCAATATGCCTTATCGATGATATCTACGAACCTAAATACATATAGCACAATCAAAACAAGTATCTTGCACGGAACCAAACGTTTCCTTGTCCTAAGCGGCCTTCTTGTTTTCTCTCTTTATTCTGCTGTAGGGACCCAAATCACTCCGGAAAATGTAATCGTAGATGACTCCAGACCAGGAGTCATAACTGTGGAGGGGATCATAGAATTCAGGGGCAATCCTGCGAACCATGGGAAGCTTGAAGCCAGGGATACGGGGGAAATCGTGGTGTTCGTTGTGATAACCAACGTTGAAGGTCACCAAGTTGAGCAATCCATAGTAAGAATAAGTTTCTTGGCCCTCCTTGAAAATGTAGTGCTCAGAGATGAAGTGGCCAGCAACAGGGTGGATTCCCATACCAAGAAGGGTTGCAGCAATATTGAACATCACTGCCTTGAATCCAAAGGTGAACGCAAAGGCAGCGTTAAATGCAAAAGTAACAATTCCATTGATTGCCTCCATGACAGACAATGGCTTTGGGTTGACAACAAGAGGGCGGAGTGCATAGAACAGAGGTTGCAAGATGACCCAGAAAACCTTCTTTGGTCTGGTGTTGAAGAAGCGTCCTTCCCAGTCCGATGGAATGTCAACATCGATAATATCAACACCTTGGGAGTAGTGATGTTCCAAGTGGTACTTCTTGAAAGAAATGCAAGAAGGCAATCCTTGTCCACAATTGGCTACCATACCCAAAAGTTCGTTGTAAAATGTTTTCTTGAAACACAAGTTGTGGGATAGCTCGTGATTTCCAAGCGATAACCAATGTGTCAAGGTTCCCCCGAGACTCCAACAGAGGAAGAACCATTTCCATCCTTCAAGTTGTGTGGAATAGACGGCCAATCCAAGTTGCACAGCAACAATGGCCAAGATCATTGGAAGAAGACGAACATCTGGGCCATACAATTCCTTGATTTCAGGGTGCTTCGCGAGGATAGCTTTACGACGGGAATGGTGAGGCTCGTCTGTGCCTACGCGTGCAAAGGCTGTCGTGGAAACTTTTTGACCCATCGTTCAGTGAGAGCTGTTTTTCTTATTGCTGGAATGCTTGCAACAAACATCGAAGAATGAATTAGTTTCATCAATCCGAAGTCCGACCCAATGCCAAAAGTTCAAAATTCCACCTGCCGGGCTTCTCAGTAAAAATAGTACTAGCTTCACGGCAGGGCCAAAAATGGAATCCGCTGCGTCACGCACACAGAAAGGTTTGGAGTTCCACTCTGTGGCCATCGTCTTGCGGTCAACCCACCCCGTCTGTCAGTCGCAAGTAAACTAGCGAAGGGTCTCCCTGCTGAGACTCTGAGGGCGAAACCCCAAACCCAAATTCGATGCCCCCGGCACATATGCGTCTAAAATAGAACCTTTTCAAAAATTCCAAGAATTCTCTCTGCCATCCGGCAAAACACATTGCGCGAATATCGCGCGATATTTAGCTTGTCAGTCGTGCGAGCTGACCGATGTGGAATTAGGAATCTTGCAATCTACTTTGGCGGGTTCTCGAGGCGGGTGGGGGGGGAAATTCTTTAAAATGGGGTTACAAAACCTTAAAACGGGGCGCAAGGAAACAAGACTGCAATTAAAATTCCAAATCCGATTTGCAGGAGCACCTTGGCCTTGCTGTTTCCCCACTTCGCTTCTGGGTCTTCGAACACGGACGCAACCTTCTTGATATGTTGAATTTCTCAAACTTTTCTTTGGCTAGAAAACGGGGGAAAGCTGATGGAAAAAAGGGAAAATTCTTGAAAATTCTTGAAAATTCGGCACATGTGATATATATGTGCACAGGGAATATTTGAAAACGATGTATTTTTCGTACTAAGGCCACGGCAATCCGTGATCCAACGGTATTCATTCACGGATGATGTAAGCGACAATGGATTATTTGAAAATCAAATACTACCTCTAAAGTAACCCGGAAACTAAGGTATACCAGCCACCAATCAAAACTATGGTGTCGCTTACAAACTAAGCAAATGTGGAGGGAAAACCTTAAGCCAATGACAATCTTTTTCTTTTCCAACAATTAAGAGCACTAAAAACCAAAGAACACCTGCGGTCTAGTTAGTCCATTGTCCATGAAATGCAAAACATGTTTTCACACACCAGCCTTGCTCGCACAAACCAAAATCTTCCAGAAACCAAGCACAGCAGCAATCACTACAACAAGGACAACGACTGTGACCCCCGCACTCAGGAGTCATTGGAGCACGTTTAAAGGGACATCTTCCCTCTTCTCCTCTCCTACTTTGACGACGATTGAGTGCTAACAACCAAGAAGAAATCGCAGGCTGGGCTAAACACTCAGCTTCTGCCAACTTTTTTGGGGGCGACGAACAACAAGAGCAGATGCCTGCTCATCCTGAACAACGGAATCAAGAACAAGAACAGCAAGAACAAGAGCAGCAAGAACAAGACGAACAACAAGAGCAGATGCCTGCTCGTCCTGAACAACGGAATCAAGTTCATGACCAAGCGCGACAGGGTGTACAACAGGATGGGCACCAGGTCCAAAACTTTCTAGAGTTTACGCCCCGGCAACAGCACACTTGGCTCCGAGCACAATGTGACTGGTGGTTTGTAGTCGCGGACCACTTTCAACCAATGACATACACAACAGTTGAAATTGCGATCAGTATGCTCTGCGACTATATGATGTACAGCGGTCGGCTACATGAGTTGCCAATGGACCATGGACTCCCAATGGGTAACAACTCAACGCTGCCAACTTCCTGGGAGAGCATTATCTGGCATTTGAAAAGCTTTGAGGACGCTGCAACAACAAAGACAATGGAGGAAAGGTACATTTTTATTTGTTATTGTCTACCAGTAACAAGCACTGAAGGATAGTGTCTTCAAAATTGATTCGACCATCTCTCAATGATTTATGAACATGTTTTCTCATTTCAATTCCATATTGAGCAGGAGTGAA